GATTTTCTCCGTTATTAGAAAGAATGTAAATTTAAAACTTTGTGAATGTGTTTTTTATGTTAAGATGAACATATTTAGATGATAAGTCAAAAATCGCGGACTTTCCTAGAAAAAATCCTTTTAAAATCAAGGGCAGATAATTATACTGAATTTGATAGTACAATTTGTGTTTTTGGGATTTTTCAAGAAAATAAGGCCCGTGACCCCTATTTCTATTTTGTATTTCGGAAGTATTTATGAAAAGCAATTCTCTCATTGAATTTTAAACAATTCTATCGTTTAAGGATAACATTAAGTTTCCCCTGTCTAACCCAAATAGAATAACTGTGATTTCGTTAATTTCAATGTATTTTAACGAAAACACACAAGGTCCGTGACCCCCAGTTTTTATATTGAAATTTGAAAGTACATTGACCACGAAGTCTTTTACAGAAGTTTAAGAAAAATCTATCGTCGAACATTTAGACACCCCAACTACCTTAATAGTTTTGATTCAAGTTAATTATATTTGTACAATTATTGAACACTCTTATTATTTAGACTCATAAAGATATAATTTGTAAATTTAGAATTATTGATCATCTATTGACAATAGAAAAGGAAAGATCTATGAAATGTTACCCAGGGAGAAAATACTTTGTAATACTTAAACTGCAACAGAGGATGATTCTTTTTTATCGCTTACTCCGAGCATGCAGCAGTTCGTAATCTTAATGATATGAAGTTGAAACTGTATTATATCTGAAGAAATGAAGAATCTTATTGATTTTGGGTTAAAATAAAAATAGCAGAAATTCTTTACTCTGAAGACAATGACAAGTGAAATTTTATTGTGTACTCCGCCGGTTCCTTTAAAAGCAGTCACTAGCACTAAGAACAGGGGACATAAGTCTTGTTATAGGCTTTGTCGACTGTACATGCAACATTGTATTGTTGTAACAATTTAAATGTATATGCCATTGGCCCTTAATTGTCAGAAATCTGTGCTTATAAATACATTTAGATTTAGTCTCAAATTCCAGTAGATTATCAAAGTTTGACCTTATCTGCATGTGAGTGAATGAAATTAAAGGAAATTGGTCATACTCCTTTCACTGGTAATAGACATTATAATGGCCATGCAGTAATTAGTATCAAACTACCAAACATGAGGCATCTACAAACATAGACTGATAGTTCGAGTGATTTTGGATTACGTTCGGCCTCAACACAAAACTTAGCCCGATGAGATTTGCCTGTGTCCGTCACAAGGATGGCACTGAATTGTAACAACTTGAGTGTATAGCTACTTTAGTAAACCAAATATAGTTTGCTGATGTAAAATGAGTAGATGTGGTATGATTGTCAATGAGACAACTATCAAGCAGAGTCCAAATATCGTGGATTTAACAATTATAGGTCACATTACGGCCTTAAACAATGAGTAAAATCCATACCGTATATAAAGTCAGCTATAAAAGACCCAGACACGACAAAGTGTTAAACAATTCAAACGAAAAAACCAACGACCTGATTTATGACAAAACATTAAACGAAAAACGGATTAAACAGACAGCAACCAACGATTACCACTAAATTACATGCAGCCTCCCGACTTAGGACAGGCACATGAAGAATGCGGCAGGGTTAAACATAGACCTGTTATCTATCAGCTCGTTCCAAAAATTTTCAATATAATACTTATCCTGCAGCAACAGTTTGCAAAATTTACAGATTGTTTTGTTTAACGCATTCAAAACCAGACAATATAACTAGACATTGATCACCGGAATACAACAATTGGCTATATGCATTCTATTCTTGCCAATACTCTGTGTTTCTCAAATTCAAAGTAAACTATTTTCCCCTGGGATCACGTACAGTATGCAGTCTTGATTAATTGCTTTGTTTTGCACTATGGTCTTTTCAGTTCATGTAGTAGTACTTTTTCGTGTGTATATAGTAATTTTGTGTTATGAATTGGAATTGATACTACATATCCGTTTGTTCTTAACTATTATACAGAAAGGTTACCTCAACCACTTCCATATATCCAAAAAGAATTTGTCATTGAATTACCAAATTTTTTAGGTATATTACTATGAACATAGATAGCTAGGTTTATGTTTTTCAAATTTGACCCTGCATGCGATCGAGTGAAACAAACGCAAATAGAATTGACATGTCCCTTTCCCGTTATCGACTACGTTTGTTTACATAGTTTCCAGTTGATTTATCAACTCTGATACAATCCCTTATTTTAATATCCCTAATTCTTAGCCCCGACAGGTTGTTTTTATTTCTTATCAACACGTGGTTCGTTTAATCTGTTATTGACTAATCAAATTTCAATTATGACGTCAATTTGTGTCCTTTTTCTGAATTTGATATTGTTACGTCACGAAAAAAGGTGACCATGTGAAGACGTCATTTAAAAACAACAGATTTTTCTGCAGATCATTGAAAAAGAAAGATAAAGTTTGTTTATATATATCGTTGCTAGTTAGCAGTAAATCCTCAATATTTCAAAACGTTCGGCAAGCATCGATTATTAAATTTGAACAATCTAACTGTCTCGAGTAGAGAAATGTCATATATAAACTAATCACAGTAACCAGGATTATAATTTTGCACGCCAGACGCGCGTTTCGTCTACATAGAAACATCAGTGACGCTCGTAAAAAAGAGTTAAAGAGGCCAAATAAAGTACGAAGTTGAAGAACACTGAGGACCAAGCATCCCGAAAGGTTTGCCAAATACAGCGAAGGTAATTAACATATTTATGGAGTAGAAAATCCTTAGTATATCGAAAAATTCAAAGTTTTGTTAACAGTTAATTTATAATTATGACCATATTAATGATAGTTTATGTCAACACAGACGAGCTGATTACTAGGCTGGTGATTACTTCGGGGAGGAAACCCCAACCAGCAATGCTATATACCCAGTGGTTGTAAATTAACTAATCATAGACACCACATGGATTATAATTTTGTACGCCAAACACGCGTTTCATATATCACACATGATGCAGTGGTAGAATCTATATATCCATAATCTGCGCCTGTGCTGTGTAAATTCTCTGAGGGTAAATTCAACACCAAATATTAATATGAACTATTATCAATATCTCCGATCATGGAAGTATTATATCAATATAATACTTCCATGCTCCGATTCAGCTGAGTTGTCATATTTTCGTCACTTTGTCACTCATTAGTCATGTTAGTTAGACATACATAATAATAAAAATATCACTTCTGTTACAACGAATTATTCAATTCATGCATTCTATAAATATAAGTATCGGAATATCTTAAAACTAAGGTCTACAGATGAATCAGTTCATGTTTTTTTTTTTGCCTCGTGTAGTAGATTTTGATCAATCTTTAAAATTAAATAGTCACTGTAACATTTGAAAAAAGAATCAACCGAACCCGATTTCAAAGCTGTAAATGTCGAATTGCGTGTTGAGTTGTATATTTAAATGTGTATAATGTTGTGTATTCAGTAAGTAACTGATGAATTATCTAGTACAAAGGTTATGTTATATGGTAAATTAGGATTGGCAGTAGAGGTTGGAATTCCAACTAAAACCCCACCTCTAAGTCTAATGTTTCTCCATCATAACAGCTGTCAATAATATTAATATTGTATCAGTACTCTTACTTCATAAAATTAAAAAATACCTAACTAGCAAGCAAATTTTCAAAAGTAATGCCATTTATACTTGAATAAAATGCTCTAGAGATGTAACCCATTCTAAAGATCAGTTGTACATATCTACAAAGACACGAGACGTATTAGGTACTATATTTAAAGAGTTTATAGATTTATTGGCTTACTTGGCTACATCCTGGTGGATGGGGCCGAAGCCTTATGAAAGAATTAGAGAAATAGTTCCAATATATCAACAACAAAAAAGCAAGCACGCACAAAAAGATCTTCAACTTATGCTATACCAGGAGATGTGGTATGATTGCCATTGAGAAAATACGAGGACAGCTTACAATGATAATAACAAATTAAAATTTCAAAGATTATTGTAGAAATTAGGTAATACAAGTACTCATGCCAAACATAAAAGGAATATTTCTAACTTATTCTGAATTTGTTTATATTAGCTGTTATTAGTTTTGAACTAGCTTTCAGTAATGCGAGAACTCTTAGATCTGTACTTGTTTTTTTGTTTTTTTTTTGTTTTTTTTTTTTTGGTTAGGTTTATTTTAGCTTTGTATCGATTAGATGAATTGAATTATGCTATTTTCAACTGATTGTTATAGTTTTTTCTTACGTTGTACTGGTACACCACTGTCTCAGGTTAGAAGGAGTGTTTGGAGCCAGCAAACTAGTTTAACCCCGCCACATTCAGTATGTGTTTGTCCCAAGTCAGGAGCCTGTAATTAAGTGGTTGTCTGTTGCTGTACATTTTGTTTTGTACATAAATAAGGCCTTTTGCATTATTGTTTGAATTGTTTTACATTAATTTTGTAATTTCGGAGCCTTTTATAACTACTATGAATTATGTGTTTTGCTCATCGTTAAAAGCCGCACGGTGACCTATAATTGCTAACTTCTACGTCATTTGGTCTCTGGTGGAGAATTGTTTTATTGACAATCATACCACATCGTCTTATCTTTATTGTGTCAATTGTTACTGCATTACAAAAAAATACATGTGTGGTTTAGTAAAGTTTGCAACGATCATACCACATCTCCTTATTTTTATAACAACAGGAATTCATATATAAAATGACGATATGTATATCTGAAAGCCTATTACCACTATTAGCTTTACTCCGGATAGAATGTTTGATTTTATTATGAAACTTCTTAAATTCATTTTTTTCTTTAATACCAGAAATCTGTCATAATTTGTAGTCATCTGTAATAATTTATAATCTGTTTACAGTGTTAAGAAATAAGAGATGCAGTACACTTACACTAAGCTGTGTGTGTGTGTGTGTGTTCATTTGAGTATTACTAAATATTGAAAAAACAAAACGTTTTGAAAACGTCTCTGATGTAAAATAATGTTTAATAGACACTACCTCTTTGAACTGAAGGCATTTATTTTACTGGCTAAGAAATGCTCGCATAAGTAAACATGTAAATGGTATAAAAACGAAGGACATATTAGATAAAGTTAACTATTCCACTTCTAAAAATAAGCTTAAGAGCTATAATCAGTAATCCCTTTTTTTCTTTTCTTATCAATGTAACATACTATTCATTTCAACAAATTATTTGCCAAAGATTATCTTAATCATTATCCAGTGTTCGTTTGCGTTTCATATCATCTAGAGCCCTTTCCCGCTCTTTTACTTCGTCCTTTAAACGTTTTATTTTACTTGATGCCAGAGTACTTATTTCTATTCTTGCACGTTTACAAGATGTCGGTGTATTGTCATTCTCATTTCTGCCAACATTTTGTCCGTATCGAAAAGATTCATGTTTAGAGTTGTTGGAAGCTTTCGTGTTTTCAAGTACACCATCTGTAATTTGTTGAGTCCATTGAGTTGGTTTCTCTTGTATCCTTTTCTTAAATGAACGGATATATTTTTTCTTATTCTTAGAAACTAGAAGTTCTTTCTTTAATAGCATTGCTTTATTAAAAATTCTTTTACACAACCTTCTGACAATATACTTTCTACAATAACTTGTACAGCAAGAGTGTAAAACAGACTTCCCTTTTAAACCCTGAAGCACAACATAACAAGGTTTCCATAATCTGTCATCTTCCTTTGCTGCCTTGCTAAGTTTGACCCTTGCTTTCCGTATGTTACAATCAAATTGATAACTAAAATAGGTCGCCTGCTCTCCTTCATCATCCGTCTCCGTTTCGGAACCATCCCTCAGAGATGATCGGGTACTTTGGACAGCATTCTCGGGTATCGTATCATCCTGTCGCAATGAATACACAGAATCAATTTTAATACCATATCCATCCGAGGCACAATTGCAACCATCTGAACCACAGTTGCAATGGTCTGCGGTAAAGTCATTTTGTTTGAACAAAGAAGAGGGAGCTGGAATATTCATTGTTGCGTTTGTTGAAGCTTGCGTAGGAGTTGGGCTTTGAATAACAGTAGACGGTATACTGATAGGCACTGTAATACTTTGGTAATTTTGTATATCTTTTGGTAAACGCTTATGTGGCAAGTCTTGATCATATAATGAATGATATGGAGTAAGTTTTTGTATTTTACCACTTTGTTTACTCGCAATACCATATATATCTGAGGCACACTTAAAACCATCTGCGGTAAAGTCATTTTGTCTGAACAAAGTTGAGGGAGCTAAAATATTCACTGTTGCATTTGTTGTAGCTTGCGTCGGACCTGGGCTTTGAATAACAGTAGACGGTATACTGATAGGCACTGTAATACTTTGGTAATTTTTTGGATCTTTCGGTAAACGCTTATGTGGAAAGTCTTTATCATATAATGAATAATATGGAGTAAGTTTTTGTACTTTACCACTTTGTTTACTGGTACGTGTTGTTAGAATACTCTGCAGTATACTTGAACCAGCCGTTGTATCAATTGGAACGTACCTTTCGTAACTCAATTTTGATGGAACAATTTTCCTTGGTGATATAACATTTGATTTGGAAAACTGTGATTCACCACTTTTACTGGCATATGGCGATACAGCACTTATTTGAGGAAGTGATGAAACAACCTTTGTATTAGCGCACGTTATAAGCTTTTTATTGGTTAATGATGAAACGATATTTGCATTGTCAAGTTGCGATGAAACAGTTAAGTTCCCATATGATGAGATAAGATTTTTATTGAAAGAAGGTAACAACGATGACACACTACTTGTATAAACAGATGAGTTTGTAAGCGTGTTTGCAAGCGTTGAGTTTATTTCAGTACATGGGATCGATGATGCAGAATTTTTCGTAGAAAACCAGGATTTAATTCTTGTTTTGGCAAATGATGATACACTACAAGATTCTGCAGAGGATGACTCTGCACTTGTGTTGGTCTCTGTAGTGTTATATACAGCAATTGTTTCCTTTGGAACTGACAAGGATTGCTTCAATGTCCTGTCTTTCTCATTTAAAAAACTTGAAGTTCGGAATTGTCCAGTAGATTCGTCCAATATCTGATCATGCGTAGTCATTTCTAATTTTCCTTTTACATTCTCTGGCCCATAAACCACCTTAACAACTATGGGTCTATTAAGACCTTTAATCTGGTTTTCAGATTGTTTTCTTACAGGTATTGGCACCTTAGTTCCACTGCTTGGAAATGACGTCAACTTTGTCGGGAACACTTGGCAGGTTGGTGAAACTTTTGAAACTTGAGAAAATAACGGTGCTTGAGGTAGACTTGTACCAGCATGGGTTACTAAAGGTGCTTGGATTGATGTAACACAATCGTTTGGAGGAACCTTTAATGTCTGATTTACCATGGTTGAAGTGTTAAACATTGAACTTTCATGATCAGCTATAGTCTTTAAAATATTGCTATAACTGTCAAATGTTTCCTTACTTCCACAATTTGTTTTTTTCAACAGTTCTAAATTTTCCTCAACTAGCTTTTTAGTTTTCCTTAGTTCACTTAATGTTAAATTCATTGTCTTAACTTTGACTGTAGGATTTCTCGATTTCTGTTGTTTAACTGTAGTCGGCAGAACAGATGTTACACTGCTGATAGGTTCAGATGACATATTAATACAGTTAGTTGTAACAGAAGACTTATTCAGATTACTTGTTAAAAGCCTAGTTAAATTGATCATACTAGTCCTGGTGGTCATTGTAGGAACGGTGGTCATTGTAGGAACGGTAGACGAGTTTGACATTGTTGGTAATATCGAATTGTCCTTTACTAATTTTGTGGATGTAGGACAATTTAGTAAACTTGATGTTGGCGGTTCTAGCTTTATCATGTTTACAGAGGTATCAGTATTAACTTTTGGTAAAATTGAATAATTTTCGTTCGGCTTTGATTTTGGTATGCCATCATTATTAATACTAAGATACGCATAGGAATATGTTCCGGATGCATTCTTAACTAAAATTGGTACAGTTGACTCTGTTGTTAACTTTGTACTTGTTGATACAGGATTTTTAAATGTTGCATCTAATCTATATATTACTGGAGGAATTTCACTTGACCGAGGTTTCAATATTGAATTTGTGTACACTGAAGTCGATTTTGATCTAGGTGGAACAATCGTCTTACCACCTGATGACATGGTAACATATGGCATAGATGGTTTATTGTTTTCTAAAATGCTTTGTCGCATGACAGCATCATCCGTTTTACTCTTCATCTTGACTGATGCATTGCTATTTCGTATATACATTAATCCGGCTTCTTTTAATTTCTTCATTGCTATCTGATTGTATATTAATTCGGCTTTTTTCTTCATTGCTAATTGTTTTGGAGAAGTTATCGGTATCCGAGTTGTTAAAATTGATTGAAGTGTTCGTTTTTTTCGATCAATGGGTACTGACAAAACATGTGTTTGCGTCTGACCTGTAATGACAGTACATGGTTTGATTATAGAACCAGTAAAAGATACATTTGACTCATTAGAAATCTTGGTCATTGATGATTCTTCCATGGAAAAGTCAGTTGAAGAATGGTTACTTTGTTTTTCTGAATTTCCTTTTAGTTCCACATGGGAGTTATCAGAATGAACTGGAATAATGCTACTTATTGAAGGCATTCCACCACATTTAGAACCTTTCAGTGTAACAGTAACATCTGATTTGCCAAGCAATAACGTTGATTCCCGAGGATGTGATCTATAAATAACTGATTTCAGTGATTTTGAAGCAGATTTAGAAAAAAGGTTTTCCTTTGTGACAGACATAGAAAATGGCGTGGTTTGTTTTATGACATCAACAAAAGATGGAGTTTCCTTATTGTTTGATACCTGTGCTGAAACAGCAGTCTGCAAAACTGGACATACCCTTGTACTCATTTGGTCCTCTGTTACATTCTCTTTCTTAATAACTGAATGTTGTATTCCTCTCATGGAATCTGATAAAAGACTCTTGTTTAAGTCCTTTATATTACATATGGATAACTGTGAACTGTCAGAAAAACATTGTCCTGTTTGATCCATGTTTGTAGATACATTCGGGTTGCAAAGCATATTTACTTGAATTCTTTTGTTGCCGGCAGAATTTGTGCTAGTTGATATTTTGTCGACGTTTGAACAACTAATGAATAAGTCTGAATTGTTTTGTTTCACTTTGGCTTGTATGAAGTTTTTGTTAGCAAAAAGACACACAGGAGTGGGTGAAGCAAACATGTCTGAAAAATCTGATGCGTTCACAGAACTGCTGCAATGCTCATATCCATCTGAGTTGACATCCTCTGCATCACATTGATACTGTTGAACGCCAGCTTCGATCATATTTTGTGTAGACATCACATCTTTTTCGTCTGTTACGAACGTTATATCATCACATGTCACACCAATACATTCGCCATTCGAAGATTTGCTTATCTTATCATCTACTTTACTTTGACACTGATATGTAGAAATTGTATTCATATGGCTGAAAAAAGGAAACAATATTATTTATGAAATTATACAAATCAAGCTACCAACGGCGTTTGTCATTTTAGTTCAGCAAATATATATGTCATTCAAGTAAGTAAAGTAACTTAGAATATATATCATGTATATGTTACTGGCATTTTCTAAATTTAGGCATTTTCTAAAATGCGTGAAAACATTAGGCATTTTCTAAACTGCCTGTAAGATTCAGGCATTTTATACATTGACTAATTTGCTTAGGCATTTTACAAAAGGCCTGAATTAATTTTATAGAATGAATTTTTAACAAAAACTGAGCAATTAAAAGCAGTTTTATCTATGATAATTAATGAATTTTAAAGCTTGCATTCTACGAATTTTAATGATTAAAAATAAATTCTATTGGTTTTTTTAAATTCTCAAAAGCACCGAACTCCGACAATTATTTGTTATTTCATATAATGTTTAGAAGTCAAATTATGTTACACATTTATCCTGGTTTTTTTTTTTGGTTGAAAATACATCGTTTGGAGTTAAATCTAATTTAAGCACTAAAATCACATCTGGTTAAAACCGGACCATCACTCATGCAGCTTTTTCAATACATTTTCCATTAAAACACTTAACGTTCGACCAACATTGGGTTTTGCAAAAAACAGACACATAAATACCTTCGTTTTCATGTGTTCCCAACAAATGCAATGTCACATTACCATGATTAGATTGACTGACATCTTGTATGCTAAGAGTGCATTTAAGTTACTGAAGAAGCTATACGCATGTCAGGTTACGCATCCATAGCAGAGGGCACTTACCATGCTGAGACACCTGTATTTGTCTCATCTTGGTCGATTTTCAAGATTTTACAACGGTTAACTAATAATGCATTAATTCATCTGATTGTAAAGACCTGGGACTATTATACTAATCCTGTTAGTATAATAGTCCCAGTTAAGACTCAAGAATTCTTTTGGGCAGTGAAGATGAAGATACACATATACTTTTTCATCACAAGACACGAATTTGTATGGCGAAACCCATGCTATATAGAAGGAATATGTTTGGCTGTACAGAATGTATAAATTCGAAGTAACTTTTCTGTTTTTATTCAACATAGTACCTTCATTTCAAGCAACAGTCGAAATTCCTCTCCTTTATCTGGGTTAATCTATTGCAGAATTTAACTCTTTGTTTTATTATTAATTTCTTCTCGTCTTAAATATGCCTGAACTATTTGCTATTGAATGCAAACAAACATGCAACAATCAGTCAATAAAAACATGCTCATGTTTCTCTGCTTCGTATAACCAACTTCTGTTAAATCTAGATTATCTAAATATTTGATTGAAAACTTTTTTCTATTGTAAGTACAATTTGTCCTTTTGCCATCATGACAAATGATCATAAAATTACAGTACAGAGTGAGTACAAACTTAACTTAGTTTCACTAAAAAAAATACAAACTTTGCAACCTTGTTTTGGAAGATAAATTCAATTGGTTATTTTCTTTGCAAGATATCGTATTTTTGGTCAAATGCATCTCAATAGTGATTACCCTTTTAATTTAACAAATTATCTGAAACTGAACTGACAATTTGTTGAATTTTGTTTCTAAATTTCAGTCATTCTAAAAAATGGCTAAGTATTTTCAGTCATTATATATATTGCCTGTCAAGGTTAGGCATTTGATAAATTTCCTGAAAATTCAGTCATTTTACAAAATGCCTAAATTTAGAAAATACCTGTAACACATACAACTTGCCAAATACCTAAATAATGTTTCCCCGCTGCAGCTATGTATACATCAGTTGACAAAAGGTCATCTGCAATGCAAGTTCAAATAGAACAAGCACAACAGATCAGTCAAAAAAGGCTCTTTACATTTAGCTTGTAATTATCTTTACTACTAACACTTTGTCGAGATCATCATGGTGGCGTTGTGATAGCCATTTTCTCATTATTTAAAAATAAAATGAAACCAATCACAATTGAAACTATATTTTATATGATTGGACTGTTGCTTATCAATAAATTTTTAAATATATGTCCGTTAGCATTTTTTCCATTCGTTTACACTTCAACAGATCATCTCGTCGAAACTTCTTTGAAATTCTTAATCGATAATGCACATACATGTATAACACTATGTCGATTTCACTATGATATATATTAATGCGAGATACACCTGAATGAAATCCTGGGGGTTACCAGACAGTTGAAGTTGAATTTTTTGAATGTGAATTAAAAGGATAAAACACACTTTATTCTAGATGTTATTGATGTATAAACTGTGCAACCTACTCACAAACTTTATATATATCAGTCCTTGCGTAGTTTTTTAATGTTTGGTTTAAAGTGTCTTGACAAAGCAAACAATGCGTTTCAAAATAGAAAGACACTTAGCAACCATTGAAAATAAGGGGTGGAACGCAACATTGAGTTACAATCTGTTCCTATATATGATTTAAAAGATTGTTTAGAGAGAAAAATGCCCATGTCGTACGGGCAGGTACACCCATCAATCAGTATTTACTTCAAATATAGCTGATTTATTCTAATAATATCTGATAAACGGTCCTAATCATGAAAACTTAACTTTTGCCAATGAACCATGATAACAAAGTCAATGTCATATATACCCCACTAAACAAACATGTAAAAGAGAGGCGAAAGATACCAAAGGGACATTTAAACTCATTAGTAAATAAGAGACTCTAAAGAGTCTGTGTCGCTCACCTTGGTCTATGTGCATATTTAAACAAAGGACACTCTCCAACATTGTAGACGAGAATAGACTTCATGACAAAAATCTCTGTTTTGTTGATCTTGTAGTGATCATTTAGTTTTTTGCGCAAAACACCAAAAAGGGTAAAACAAATCCTCATTTAAGGGCAATCACTCCTATAAAATGTGACAGTCTATTAACTATATCGGGAAAATTTGACTTGTTAGTAGATCTTGCCTTGCTGGTCATTTTTGTGTCAAAATGTCTATTATAATTTTTATCATGCAAGGCAAAAACAAAAACATAAAAAAATGGGAAAAAATATTATTAAATAAAAGGACAATAACTCCAATAAGGAGTCGTTGGACGTTTTCCTCTAAATTGTCTTAACTGTAAATCTTGTCTTGTTGATAACTTTTGCTTATTTCAGTTTCTATCTATCTATTATACATTTTTAGATATATGGCAAAAACGCAAAAAAATTGGTAAAAATCGTCATCAAAGGGCAATAACTCTAATAAGAAGTTGCTTGACGATTTCGACTACGAGACTTATTTGTAGAACTTGTCTTGCTGATAATTTTTGCAATATAAAATTTCTCTCTCTCTATACATATATATATAGCTATCTATCATAGTTTTCTAGATAGAAGGCAAAAGTGCATTTTACCCCTAGCCTATGTTCTATCTTTAGTCATGTCGGCCATCTTGGTTGACAGGCCAGGTCATCGGACACATTTTTTAAACTAGGTACCAAATGATGATTGTGGCCAAGTTTGGTTAAATTTGGCCTAGTAGTTTCAGAGGAGAAGATTTTTATAAAAGTTAACGACGATGACGGACGACGTGGGACGCCAAGTGATGAGAAAAGCTCACATGCAGGTGAGCAAAAAATAAAATGACAACGCCATGGCTAAAGAAGACAAAGACTAACAGACAATCAACACCCCGTACACAAAACACAACATAAAAAACTAAAGACTGAGCAACACGAACCCAACCAAAAAACTATGGGTGATCTCAGGTGCTCCGGAATGGTAAGCAGATCCTGCTCCACATGTAAAGTTTATATGATTTGGCTATACTTTTTGTCTTTTTCGGTTATATCATCTAGTTAATGTTTGTATGATTTTATATTTTCAAATATATCGGCCCATAGCATCCTTAAAAACGAGGTCGTGGTCAATGTACATATTACACGATATGCTTATATTGTCCAGACATGACCGATTCTAAAAGGTCCTTGAACGAAATGTATTTTGGGTATTTGGGTCAAGATTTTGTTGAAGGAAAATTTACGAAGATCAGACATAATTAGCAATGCCTTTTTGTCAGATATTGCATTTTTAGTTACAAGTTTGCATTAGATTTTAGGATTTTCAAATACATTGGCCTCTATAGCATCATGTCGAAATGTGCTCGATTGAATTAGTTTAATATTATTACAATATTTTTACACAGCAAATAGAGTTTACATTTTGCTTAAATTATCTTACAAACTAACTTAATGTAGATCAATGTATCTTGAAAACGAATACAATGTCAGATAAACCCTGCCTGACGGACATGTACATCTCATAGTCACATTCATTTTATACGTCAACTGGAATTTGAGAATTGGACCTAATCACAAAACTTAAATTTGACACAGAACCATAAAATTATGGCAATGTCAAATAACGGACATGTTTACCTTAATTATTTATGTAGAACTTACATCCATGGCGGGTTCCAGACCTATGACAGATTCCAAATCTATGACAGATTTTAAAAAATCCAAATCTACGGCAAAGTTTCAAGTTTCCTAATCTATGGCGGATTTTCTAGTTTCCAAATCTATGGCAGATTTTCTGCAAATGGAGGATCAATCAGTACATATTTGACCAATGACTTGCCTTAAGAATTTCCTGCTCCGCATTCTACAACGATCGCGATGTCCAAAGGTAACGAATACGCCGGTAGTTAGTAAAAGTCAATACAAGAAAAATGGATTAGGAGTACGACAACTGAAGCATATATTCATAACCATTTGCGAAACCATTAGAGTTCTTGGAAACTGGCCTTTTTTTCCTTCGATATAACAAAACCGTCATCGGGAATGGAATACTGTAACGTGTACTCAGGGTAAGCGTGTCTATTTCTATTTTAGAATGAGTTCGTTACCAGTATGATACTGGATCCAAAATGTTCTATTTACAAAACATATAATAAATAATCTTTATTCATAAATTAACGTCAATGAGCTAAAATATATTCAACTGCTCTTTGCGTTTTCTAATATTCTATATATAACTATTCTATTTCAAATATAAATAATTCGTACAAATTTGTACTATTACAAATTTGTCCTCGGTCATTAACAAACTTGTCCTCCTGGTACGATTATGTACCCTACAAGTTAACACACTTATCCAATACGTCACTCGTTCTCTTGGTACAATTATGTACTTTACAAGTTGATCACACAGACTCACACTTGTCCTTTACGGTACAACAATACGGTTCAGCTTGTAAACGTACAAGTCCGTATTTCTAACAGGCATAAACCTGCTCTTTATTTACACTTAGTAACAATATCTATTTTATCTAATATATACGAGACAGCGATCTCGAATATCAACGTACCGTACCTTGGTCTTATGTCTCCGTAGACTTATGACAATCGACCCTGAGCAAGGAATCTCTCTTGCTTATACACATGTTATACACCCTAATGGTAGCTGTACAATTCTTGAAGAAGGGGTGTTCTACCAAAGTGCCTCCTTACTCGTATTACAGTTTTCTTTGGAACACCCCTTCACATTTGACCTGACCTAAGGTTTACCCGCGAAACACCTGATTCTTTTCTATGTTTAATAAAGTATTATGAAGAACACTATTGTAATATTAGTTATCTTAATAAAGAATCTGAATCTTAATCTATTATAAAAATGTATAAAACAAGGCTTCTGCCGAACAGTTACTAATGTAAACAATCTAACCTCAGATACAAAATCATCACAATACGAACACATGCGTCCCGCCATCTATAGAGGCGGCGACGACGTAATGTTACGTTATTCCTTTGTAACGTTATACTCAGTTAACTCTGCTCCCCGGAAAATTACGCAATTTCAAAATCTGCCATAGATTTGGAGAAAACAAAAAACTGCCATAGATCAGGAACATATATATTGACTATTCCCAGCATATATGATTTGCATTGCGTTCGTGACGTCATATTTGCAATAGATTTAAAATCTGCCATTGATCTGGAACCCACCACAGGTTTCAGACCTACATATATAGCAAGAAGTATTGGTCGTTTTACTTATCACCGAAAAAACTCGTGATAAAAAATATTGTTTCTTCAGCAATCACGTATTAAACCAAATTGCTTTATATCAGGTTATGCTTTCTTTGAAAAAAGAGGTATACTTAAATTGAAGTGTACGGGTTTTTGCAGAAGAAAAAATTATTTGAAACACAAAGAACGAATTAACATTGAAGCAATATAAATTACATCTTTTTAGCCGCAAACTAACAATTACCTGTTTGTATTGATTGTTTCGTTAAAATTCGCAGACATCTGACTTGGCTGGTCATTGTCTATGTTATCCATCATGCCATTTCTCCCATTGTCTACGTAATCAACAATGACATTTCTCCCATCCTCTACGTTATCAACCACGCTACCTATCTCATCCTCTATGCTATCCACCATGCCATTTCTCTCATCCTCTATGCTATCCACCATGCCATTTCTCTCATCCACAATCTCATCCATGTCCATATAAAAAGAACCATCGTCACTATCGTTAAACGAAAAAGACAAAGATATTATAGAATCTGAAGAGCTTGGCGTCGAAGCTCGACTGTTGTCACACTGAAAATCATTTCCACAAACATCAGGCTCGTCAAAAAGCGTTTTGTATCCTTCCATAGATGAAACTTTGGTTATAGTTATTGTATCAGTAGCCGTTATTGTATGTTGGGAATCAGTTTTCAAAACACTAGAATCGTATAATTCTGTCTCCTGATCCGCAGTCACATTTTCACAAGGAGATTTTTGGGCATGACCAGATAGTGATTGGCTCACAATAATATAAGGTAATAGTTCGGACGACTGAACGGTCTGTTCATCGCTGGCTTTGCTGCGAGATGTTATTTTTGTCAGAACCATTTCATTACTTATGTGGGTGGTGGGTATTGCAGAATTTAATGCCTCTGGAGATGGCATGCTTTCTTCTACATGTTCGGTCATTTTAGGAAGAAATCTGAAAATTACAAAATTAAGAATGCAAATTGTTTCATCGCACGATGATAGCAACAAATGCGTAAAATTGTCATTTGATAAGGGCAATGTCACCTTTATACAGTCGTTTAACATTTTGGGACATGTCAATAGTATAAATATTTGTAGATTTTGCTTTTCCTAGAAAGTTTTCTGTTTACAATTTCTCTCTTTCTATTTAATTTTTGAAGATTTAAAAAAAATAAATAAACATGGATAACATTGAAGAATCATTGAAATTTATAGTCAATAACTCCCGATTGTCATTAACAAAATCGACAATTTTTGGATATGTTGAATTATTTGTAGATCTCATCTTGCTGTCATTTAACAGCTCTACCTATTATATATTTTGATTTAAAGATGATTATAAGACACACACAAGTAAACAAATATCATTATTTAAGGGCAATAACTCATATAAAAAGTTATATATATTTCTCAGACCATGACCCCAGCCAATTTAAAAACGTTCCATCTGACATCAGATCAACCATGCACGGACAAATACTATTTCAGGTATCCTGACTTATTTATAGACCTTATTTTGGTGAACGTTTTTTTTTTACAGTTTTTCTATCGATTTAAACAAGAGTGCACAGGCTGAAATATCTTGAATTAATATTGAAAGTTTTACTACAAGTATCATATACCCTTTACATTATCAATGATCCATATAAATGAGGTCATTGTCAGATCGACCCTGCCAGACAGACATGAACACCTTACAATCATACTATACACCAACTATAGTTAGCCTATTGCTGACAGATCTGAGAAACAGACCTCATTACGAAAACTAAACTGAACATCGACAAATGAACCATGAAAATGAGGTCATGTTCAGGTGAATCCTGTCAGACATCATGCAAATTGAATCATCCCAAACACCAAATATAGTTGTCCTATTGCTTATAGTATCTGATAAACAGACATAACCATGAAAACTTAACATTGACCAATACCACGAAAATGAGGTCAAGGTCAGATTTACTCTACCAGACAGACATTAAAATTATTTCATACACCAAAATTTATTTGACCTATTGCTTATAGTATTCGAGACGTCAAAGTCGGATGAACTCTGCAAGATACACATGTACACCTTATGATAATTCCATACACCAAATATAGTTGACATATATTGCTTATAGTATCCGAGAAAAAGGCCTAACCACGAAAAACTTAACACTGACCATTTAACCATGAAAATGAGGTCAAGGATAGATGAAGCCTACAAGATAAACATGTACACCTTATAATAATTCCATACATCAAATAAAGCTGACATATCCAAGAAACAGACCGAACCACGAAAGCTTAACATTGACCAATTTACTATGAAAATGTGGTCAAGGTCAGATAAACTCTGCAAGATAAACATGTACACCTTATAATAATTCCATGCACCAAATATAGGTGACATACATGTATCCGAGAAACAGACCTAACCATTAAAGCCTAACATTGACCAATTTACCATGAAAATGAGGTCAAGGTCAGATGAACCCTGCAAGATAGACATGTAAAACTTATAATAATTCAATGCAACAAAATAGGGGACATATATTGCTTATAGTATCCGAGAAACAGGCCTAACCACGAAAGATAAACATTGACCAATTAACCATGAAAATGAGGTCAAGGTCAAATGAACACTGAAAGATACACATGTACACATGCATCGTAAACTAATTCCATACACCAAATATAGTTCAGCTATTGTTTAAAGTATCTACTAACAAGACAAATTTTGCAAGTCATTGACCAAGTTAAAAAAAACACAAAACTATAATACAAAATATAAACTTATAATTCTCAACCCAAACATCTGTTATTTTTTTTTCTTTGAACCCGTGGATTCCATTCATGAATATATCACAATTCAATCGACAACGATTTAATATATATGTTACGAAAGGAGTTTGGCAACATGATCCATTTACCAGTAAAATTCTAGAAACATATTTTTTTATCTCTTGAACAAGAATATGAACAAAATTTTTGATAATGTTCATCTATTTCCGTGACTTTTTTGCAAATCTATTGATGTCTTCAAAACCTTGAACCAGAGACTGAACCTAAATATTGACGACACAATATAGAAACGAATGGTGTAAGATTTATTTGCTTGACAATGGAATGAAAGGATGTATTACGATTTCAAGACTAAACCTTGCCACTCCAAGTATTGTTTGGCTAATTTCGTGTATTCTATATCGACTGCACTCTGACGCCCTACGACACCTGCAAGTCCTGCAAAGGTCGGCGCATGCAGCAGAGCAATTTCTGACTATATAATATAGAAATCTTTTTCTTTGGGGTTTGATATAATTTTATCGTCTTAGCATATGTTTTAAATTTTAAAGGAGTAGGTCCAGTAAGACTCCTTTTTGGCCCCAAAATATAGCTGTTTTACAAAATTGTTAAAATGTAACTTTTTAGCTATTTATTGGAAAGTAGAATACTTCTGCTACATAAATATGGGCTGTTTTTGACAATACAATGCACATATATCGGGTACTAGCATCATTTAGTCATGCTAAATTACTGAAATCTTCACAATTTTAGCATTTGAGTTAAATTTTAGACGGTTTCCATCTTAAATGGAAGTGGCCGCATTTGTGTTCATTCTTAATATTTAAATGTAAGTTGTATTTGATGATAATACAAAACATATATAAAGGTTGAGAGTGAACACGGATGCGGCCACTTTCATTTTTGACAAAAACCATCAGATAATGTACATATAATGGCATATTTGATAGATTTTTCATATTTAAGCTTGAATTTGAGCGACTGAAATGACTAAATCAGTTCAAATCTTTCCCACAAAGTAATTGAATCGACTGAAGTAGACACTTAAGTGTTTAAAAAGTGTCATCAGATGAACCTGAAATTTGAGGCCAAAATCGGCCCTTATACCGGACCTACTCCTTTTAGAACAGGTTATCAATGTAAACGTTGATCAGCGCTGATCGACGGCCATTTTGAAATGGCAATCTGCCGCACCACTAATTTAAGAAATCTTGTTATATATAGGACTATAAAAGAACAAATTGTGTTTTAATTGGTAGTATTAAATGTTTATCAATCAAATCAAAACTAATTGGCCCTTATACCGGACCTACTCCTTTTAGAACAGGTTATCAATGTAAACGTTGATCAGCGCTGATCGACGGCCTTTTTGTGTGAATCACATTATACTTTGTTTAATAAACTATTTCATATATGTTTGATATTTTTGGTTGCAATTATTCCGCTCATCCTTGGCGCTCGATCTATGGTTCCTGGAGAAGCTTTTGTGGATACTTAAGGTAGATCGGGTTTCTTCCGCCATCTTGGATTGTAACATATCAGGAAACAATCAGTCTAGATCTTTAATTAAATGGGCAAATTTCGAGAGAAGGATGTAACTCATTTGTAAAATTTTCAACTAAATGAAGAAACTAATGTGTTTATAATATGTTTTCCACTGTTTCTTACAAGATTCAATTTTTTTTTCAACTTTGCCTTTTAAGGGGAGATAACTTAAATAAAGTTACTTTTATAAAGGAATGTGTTATTATTTTGCCTATTTTGTTTTGTAGCAAGAAAACGAGTCCGGTGACCCCATTTTTTTTTCTTTTCTGAAAGCACATTATCAGAGCTTTCTTCTCATATTTTATCTTTAATTCTATGGTTTAGTTTTCTTTTTATCACACAAAATAGGAGTTTCCATGCATAATTTATACAAAATCTGAAAAATTTTGCTCAACCTGTAGCTTGAAAAGCAGCCCAGTGATCCATACGTTTTATTATATTTTTGAAAAAAGCATGATATTAACTACATTTTGACAAATTATTAAAACAATCTATGGACTTAAATGTAGACCCCCCATGTACATTAATTGTAATATAATTGTACTTTTCATTATCTATTACCTTCAAGAAAACATCCCTACCTAGTTCGATGTCATCTTATCATTTTTTGAAAATAAAAACATTAATTAATTTCCCAACATGCACGAAGGGCTTCAATATAAATTTGACCTCCGTTTGCGCTCAAATTGAACTCGATCGCCATGAACAGTTATAACCCCTGTAAAGGACCTTTAAGTTTGGTGCCAATAAATTGGTTTCACGCGGACGGTTCGCAAGAAAAAGAGTTAAACCAATCAGAAACTAAAATAGGCCAACGCGTCCATATCGGATTATTGGTTGGCGAATCGTCATCAACACTTAAAAAGAAACCGGTTTTGCATATTTCTTTTCATTAATTCGCAATAAAAAGGTAAATATATATATAAATAAATGGTTAGTGCACTGACGACAGCGTCGCCATTTGATGGGATGCAATAGGTCACATTGAATTCCCGCAATTGCAAATGTTTTACATCATGTACATGGTCTATTTTACATTTTCCCCGATTAGCAATACTTGTAATTTAAGACAAGCGTATTGAACATAATAGTTGTACAAAATACTCACATTTATCAAATTTATAAATCAGCAACTTCCAATGCATATATCTCTAAGCTTTTCCTTTTACTGCAAACAGTATTAAATAAATTAGCTAATTACTCATTTTCTAGCTTGCTGATACCATGGATATGGAAACATAAACATGAGGAGAACACAAGGTAATATAAATGGGGAATGTGTCCATATAGGACACAGATGATGCTCCTGCTTGCATATAACGTTATAAAGGGACATAACCCAAGAACTGTAAAAGTGACGCTATCCAAATTCATATTTGATCTTAGTTTTGTGGTAATAAGCATTGTGTATAAGTTTCATAACATTTGGTTGAGGCAAACTTAAGTTAGAGAACGGAAACGAAAAATTCAGCAATTTTGCGATTTGTAAAGAGGCATAACTCTAGAACAGTAAAAGTCACGCCACCCAAATTCAACGTTGATCTGTGTTTTGTGGTAATAAGCATTGTGTATAAGTTTCATACCATTTGGTTGAGGCAAACTTAAGTTAGAGAACGGAAACGAAAAATTCAGCAATTTTGCTATTTGTAAAGGGGCATAACTCTAGAACAGTAAAAGTGACGCCACCCAAATTCAAACTTGATCTGTGTTTTGTGGTAATAAGCATTGTGTCTAAGTTTCATAATATTTGGTTGAGGCAAACTAAAGTTAGAGAACGGAAACCAATTTCGGGACGTACGGACGGACGTACAGACGGACGTACAGACGGACAAGGGTAAAACTTAATGCCCCCTACGCTACGGCGGGGGCAAAAAAACAATAAACATTTTCGCTGAAACATGTCTAATTCTTTCAGTCTAGTATCGAGAGCTTAGTCGATATTTAATTTATAATTGTTCAGATCATATCGAATTAACAAACAAAATTCGTATACTAATCGAATTCATGAAACCAACACCTGGTACCTCCTCCCCCCCCCAAAAAAAACCCCATACACACACAAACAAAGACACACAGAAACGAAAAACACGTAGTCCAAGTAACCAGAGACTTGGTAATGGCAAAAAATGTTGGGTTTATATGCATTTTTCTTTAATTTCTTTTTTGGTTGTATCTTTATTCACTTATTTTAGGGGTCTTTTTAACAGTTCATTATAGGAGCTGAAATGGTCGATTTGGGTCAATATACTGAAGCTCTTTCTTAAAAAACCTTCATCAAAGTTTGAGAATGCAAAAAATTTGTTTAAACACATATGTTATAAAAATTCGTTCTTTGCAGACATACTGTTCTTAGGGGAACTAAGCTGCCAAGTGCATGTTCTCCGAATTGAATCAAAAATCTCTAATTTGACTTATAACATACTAAGGTATATTAGAATTGTATCAGTCCGAGAGGAAGCAAAACACAAAGTATAATCATTATTAGACTGGACACCATCTAAATGATCCCATTAATCATCTAGATGTACATGACCAGCGAAGTTTGTCGATACGCATGCGACAGATAAATACAAACATATAAACACAGACAGTACGTGCCATTTTTGTGATTATTTTTCTATTTTTCATATAGAACATAGACACCATGGTTTTGCCGTTAACCTATATAGAAAAATTCGTTATTTTGCGGGTCAAAACAGTCAACGAAATCCTCATGTTTGTTGGATTGTTGGACCTTTTTTTACAGTTTTTATACGACCGCAATAAATTTTGCGGTCGTATATTGGTATGACGTTGGCGTCGTCGTCGTCCGAAGACACATTGGTTTTCGCACTCTAACTTTAGTTAAAGTGAATGGATCTCTATGAAATTTTACCATAAGGTTTAATACCACAAAAGGAAGGTTGGGATTGATTTTAAGGGTTATGGTACCAACAGTTAAGGAATTAGGGGCCAAAAAGGGGCCAAAGATAAGCATTTTTGTAACTTCCAGACATAACTTGTGTGTTAGAGTATGGATCTCTCTGACATTGTACCACAAGGTTCCATATCACAAAGGGAATGCTGGGATTGATTTTGGGGGTAATTGCCTCAAAATTTTAGGAACTAAGGGGCAAAAAAAGGGGAAAAAAACAAGCATTTTTCTAGTTTCATGACAATAACTTGTGTGTAAGTGTATGGATCTTCCTGAAATTGTACTACAAGGTTCCATATCACAAAGGAAAAGCTGGAATTGAGTTTGAGGGTAATTGCCCAAAACGTTTAGGAATAAGGGCCAAAAAGGGGCCAAAAATAAGCATTTTACTAGTTTCCAGACAATAACTGGTGTTCAAGTGTACTATGGATCTCTCTGAAATTGAACTGCAAGGTACTATACCACAAAGGGAAGGCTGGGATTGATTTTGGGGGTAATTGCCTAAAAAATTTAGGAATTAGGGGCCAAAATACAAGCATTTTTCTAGTTTCCAGACAATAACTTGTGTTCAAGTGTATGGATCTCTCTGAAATTGTACTGCAAGGTACCATACCACAAAGAGAAAGCTGGGATTGAGTATGGGGTGATGAATCATAAGGGGTTCAAAAAATGGGGAGGGGGGATTTTTTTTCCCTTTTTTTCCTTTTGTTTCTTTAAAATTTTCATTTTAAATTGGTTATTTCTGATCTATATATAAAAGCAAATAATAATGATATGGTTTGAATAGGTAAATTATTTTTTTTTAAGTTCTTAGACCACATTCATTCTGTGTCAGAAACCTATGCTGTGTCAAATATTTAATCACAATCCAAATTCAGTGCTGTATCAAGCTTGAATGTTGTGTCCATACTTGCCCCAACTGTTCAGGGTTCGACCTCTGCGGTCGTATCAAGCTGCGCCCAGCGGAGCATTTTATTTCAATTGACACTGTTTTCGATAATCTAATTTTCTGAGCTTATTCGCAAACATTCAAAAACTCAAGTCACGAACAACGGCGGGAGGGTATGAATGCACATGGATCTGTATTAGGTCGCATACATAACATTTCGCCGTTTTGACTTCAGTTGGTGAATGATCAGTACGAATTACTTGGCATAGCAAATTAAGTTACTGAAAATAATGTCAGCTGAAAAACTAAAACTAATGTCCAACAATCCAACAAACATAAGGATTTCGTTGACTGTCTAAAAAGTCAATAATGGTTCAGCCTGCAAAGTTTCACCCTCGGATGTTCGGCGTATTTTGACAGAACTGAACCAAAATTCACTGCCACATGTATTTACGAATAATTATTCAATGTTCCGTTATTGTAAATGTTGCAGCAAAAATATTTACTTTTGTATGTCAATTATCAGTTTCAACTTTAACTATCAAATTCGTAGCTACATGTAAAAACTTTCAATCACCATGCAATAGCTATATATTTCAAAATAGTTTTCGAGACCTTAACATTTGAGCTGAAGCGCGGGAGGTGAGTACTGGCGAGTCACATGACATATATATTACAAACATGCATCACACTTATTAAAAAAGCCAATAACTTTTGGAAACCCATTAGGTATCACCTGCCTCATATATGATTTTTGTAGATCAAAATTCTGCCGGGTAATTTCTTGCCGTGAGTTAGGTCTTAAAAAAATCAATTGAAGAATATTGGAAAAGGAAATAATTATATATATATATATACATTTTTCAAATACATGATTAATACACATTTTTCTACCTTAACTTCGAGCATGTTTTGTGTGTAGCAAGCATTTAGTCAAATCAAGGATTTAACAATATTTTGAATATTTAAAGGATCTATACTTTATATATTACATCCCATCAATTATTTAGAAATGTAAAAATAGCATGCATGCTTCAAAACGAGGGCAGTTCCGGTTATTTGTTTACATGAGATCAGTACGAAAATACGAAGATGTTGTACGTTTTAAAATTACCTGTTGTTGACAAAATCATTGCTATTTGGAAAAATTAAATATACCAGCGTCTACGGCAATGAATATTCAATTAAAAGCACAAAACATCTCAAAAGAATAACGTGCTATATCAAATTGACCACAATGCACCATTCTGGAACTGCGGAAGTTTGATACTTTCATAATCTATTCCGGGTTGTGCATTGATTGTTTACATTTTTTGTTTTTTATTGTTATGTATGTAAACAGGTAAATTTAAGCTATGTTGAATAGCAAATTGGAAATATCGATATGTGTTAATCCTTTAACCATGGAAAGGAAACTACACAAAAATTGTTAAACTTGAAAGGTATTTAACTCAAAACTTGTTTACGTATTATTGAACTTCCTGTTTGCTAGTATAGAGAGCTTAATATAAAATATAGACTGTGGGTATACGTCAATAAGACAACAATTTAACGACACAAAAACGTGACATGTTAGATTTAATTATAATTATTATTTTGATATATCTCAAAGTTGAATATAATGGTGTAGTTCTCAGTGAAATGTACCAGACACATAAATAGTGCTATATGTCTATATACGTTAAAAAAATTATAATGCCACTTCGATTGTAATAACGTGCCTGATTGGCGTTATTATATCATTTGTGGGGGTAAAATTCACGGATTATCTGTTTGAAACTAAGAGGAAAAGCCGTTTTGAATTCCTGAATTATGTGGAACGATGTTAAGTGATCTTAAGTGACAATAAAAAAAACCTTTGTATAATCAGAATTCAGAATGGCACCTCATTGACTCCCGATGATCTTTTAGGCGTTTCATCTTTTAAATAGGAAAGACATATTTCCATTTAGTGACTTCCATAGTAGAATAAGTCCTCTTTACAGCTATCACTCTGATGGTTATCATGGTTATGAAAAGGTTATTTTTAGGCATCATGACATGCGTTTTGATTTTGAAATATACAAACATTAAACTATGGTAATATTTATTACGCAAAAAATTCCGTAATCAGAAAGAGTCCCAGGTGCAAAGAATATTGATTCGAATATCTTATCATGAAAAATATAATGCGATATTTTTTGCTTCTTTATTTTATTTGTGTGGACAGCATTCCGAAGTCAAAACTTTCTAATACATGCAAAATTTACGACATCCAATTAAACTATACAGGTAGTTGTTTTTCAGACCTATGCTTGTTACGCTTTCCTTGTGTGCAGTATTATACTTCCTTTTTTATGAAATAAAGTATGTGGTGTAACTATGTACCCGGCATACTACAGTAAAACAAAACGTTATTTCCATATATTAAATATTGAATGTACCAAGCTTAATAAATTGCTTCGCTGAGCGCAGCTGGATACGACCGCAGATGTCCAACCCTGAAAAGTTGGGCCCAAAATGGACACAATATTCACGCTTGATACAGGTCTGAATTTGGATTGTAATTAAATTTTTGACACATAATAGGTTTCTGACACAGAATAACTAGTCAAAGAACTTCAAAATGGTTATATGGTTTGAATTTATATTCAATTTTTGGTTTTGTGCAATACACTATGCTGTTGCGAAATTGACCCCCCCCCCCCGCCCAAAAAAAATTTTACCCCGTTTTTTTGCTTTTGTGCAATACACTATATACTGTTGAATATTAACCCCCAAAAAAAATATTTGAAGAAATTTTCTTTTAATTTCTGAAATCTGAAATGAGATAAAATTGTTCCCCCCCCCTTATTCCAAAAAAAGTCTTTCCCTCAAGATATGGTCTGTATCTCAATTCAAATTTCTAATGGAGTTTGCAACCATAATTACCCATTTAAATACATCATAAAAGTCTTAAAATATAAAATGACATACATAGTCATGGCTAAAATTAATATTAATTAATAGTAACTGCTAAAAATAAATTGACAGCTAATCACCTCAAAACAATCATCATTTCTTAATACATAATTTACAAGCAGTGTAAGGGAGGTGATCAAATATTGTTCTTTAAAATTGATTTGGATTACCTCCCTTACACTACTTTTAAATTGTCTCAATTGTCCTATAACCAGAAAAACCCTTGTTTTTCCCCTTTTTTGCACATAATTCCTAAATGGTTTGAGCCATAACCCCCCAAAGTCAATCCTAACCATCCCTTTGTAGTATGGAAACTTGTGGTATAATTTCAGAGATTCATACACTTTAACATAAGTTATTGTCTGGAAACTACAAAAATGCTTATTTGGGCCCCTTATTTCCTAAACAGTTGGGACCATAATCCCCAAAACCAATCCCAACCTTCCTTTAGTGGTTATAAACCTTGTGTTAAAATTTTATTGATTTCTATTTACTTATACTAAAGTTATTATCCGGAAACCATCTGTCTTCGGACGACGCTGACGACGACGACGACACGAGGACAACGTGATACCAATATACGACCAAAAAAAATTTTAAATTTTTGCGGTCGTATAAAAATTGCCAAAAAATTATTTTTCATCGAAACCATCGATAAAGACATGTTATTCCTTTGGGATGCCGATCTTTCCACACGCTACAAAAATACCTGGTTCAACAGTGTCAAAATTAATGCTAACTCCGTGTTGAAGGCCGTACTTTGACCTATAATGGTTTACTTTTACAAATTGTGATTTGGATGGAGAGTTGTCTCATTTGCACTCATACCACATCTTCTTATATCTATTATTTACATTTTGTTTGTTTGCAGGTTTTATCCTTAACTAATTTTTCAACTCAAAAAATATGAGGTTAACTAACCAACATTGAACAAAGATCAACATAGGAATTATTGTCTGCGACTGTTTTCATAGTTATTAACAATTGTTTTGTCGTGAAATGCAGTGGAATGGGATATTCACTCAAGAAGATAGCCATGAATAAAAATGTTTGTATAAGAATTTGCACCATATGTGACCAATCAAAGAACTTGCCATGGCTTTTTCAATTTGAGAAATATTGCACGAAATGGCATATATACACATGTGAATCTTCCGTGAGGTACGAAATGGCACACATATAAATCTCCCGTGAGGTACGACATGGCACACATATAAATTTTCTGTGAGGTACGAAATAGGATACATATAAATATTCCATAAGGTATGAAATTGCATATTAATGAATATTCCATGAATTACGAAATGGCATTCGTATAAATCTTCCACAAGGTACAAATGGCATACATATAAATATTCCATGAGGTACGAAATGGCATACATATAAATATTCCATGAGGTACGAAATGGTATACATAGAAATATTCCATGAGGTACGAAATGGCATACATATAAATATTCCATGAGGTACGAAATGGCATACATAGAAATATTCCATGAGGTACGATATGACATACATATATAAATATTCCATGAGGTACGAAATGGCATACATAGAAATATTCCATGAGGTACGAAATGACATACATATAAATATTCCATGAGGTACGAAATGGTTTTCGTAAGGGTACGAAATGACTATAATTCGTTCGTTTTTGCTGTAAACAGTTTTTACTAATCCATTATAGTTTTAAAGATAATTGGCAAACACACTTAAATTAGTCAAAAGTCGTCATTTACAGGCAATAACTCCTTAATGGATCATGACTACGTTTAAAATTTGTTGACTGGTGACATGAACCAAGTGCTCTGGAAGGGTAAGCAGTTCCTGTTCTACTACTGACATCTTCTGTTATTCTTTTTGAAATTCGGTTAATGAATCATCATTTGATACCAAATTGGTTAAAATCTTAGTCATCACTCAGTCTATTATCCATTAGTTCAAGTAATTTTTCAAACGCCACTACTTTACTGAATGTCCGAGGATAAAGAAGACTTGTCAGAAGAAACAACTCGGACATTCATTAATAAAATTGCAGGAAATAAATAACTAAAGCAAAATCCACTCAAACTCCTTTGAAAAGCAATGCTCCAAGCACAATTCACGACTTCATACATCAGCCAAAATTAACCAAGGTCAACATGGTTACAGCAATATTTCCAAGTGCTCACTGGTGTTAAACTGATAATCGTATAACTGGAATTACGACGATCCCAATATGGCGACGGCAGAAAAGGTAAAATCTTTTCAGTCATTTTTCTCAAATGTAGCCCGTTGTTGTCAAGAGTTACTCAGCTGCAAGGTTTTTCTATACAATTACATCATATTTGAATCGTAACGGTGCACTATAATTGTCTAAGCGCTTAGAAAATTGCCGTCAAAAAATTCGAGATGATAATCGTAATTCGATGGCATTTTTCTTGTTTGATAATCGTAATTTCTTTATTGGATAATAGTAACTGAAAAATAATAAATGTGTCTTCCAGCTTGTCAATGGTATTTTGTGTGTAAAAACGGCAATGTCCAGTTAAACGATGACATTAACGCGCAAAATAAAAAATAATGAAGCAACTTACAGGTTAATATTTAGGACAAATTTACTTACATAGATATAAGAAGATGTGGTATGAGTGCCAATGAGACAACTCTCCATACAAGTCAAAATTTATAAAAGTAAACCATTATAGGTCACAGTATGGTCTTCAACACGGAGCCTAGGCTCACATCGAACAGTAAGCTATAAAGGGCCCCAAAAAATTACTAGTGTAAAACCATTCAAACGGGAAAACCAACGGTCTAATCTATATAAAAAACGAGAAACGAGAAACACTTATGAACCACACCAACAAACGACAACTACTGAACATCAGATTCCTGACTTAGGACAGGTGCAAACAATTGCAGCGGGTTTAAACGTTTTATATATATATCTCAATTTATAACTGTCAACAATATGCATAACCTTTTAATATATGCATGTACCTGTTAAAGATATGGAAAATGAAGCAGCTGTCGAGTCAGTTATTGTGGTAAATAGATAATTTAAATTCCTTCAAAGTTTCAATGTTGTTTTCGCGTTTAGGGTTTTTTTTTTGGAAGTGGGGAAAAGGGGGGGGGGGTGTATTAGCATTATCCAATATCCCAAAAGTGCAATCCTTTCAAATGAAAGTCCCGTATACCACATTTCAATATGCCATATATTTTGCCTCAAATATTGCATATATCCAATCGACCCTAACCCTAACCCTAACCCTTTTAAATCAATAAAAAGGGCAAGTTAACCTCCCCTATCTCAATATTCCCTAT